TTAGATGGTGCGACGTTCGAAGGACCTGAGGGGACGTTCGAAGATTGGACTATGACTTGCTGAAACGTCGAAGCGGGGGTAGGGCCGTCTAGGACCCATTGAGCGGCGATGTAGATCTGCGCGAAGGTCCATGGCTTGCGTCTCGAGTGGTCGGGGTTCTTCATGAACAAGCGTTGTTCGATCGGTCCCCAAAGCGCTGGGGGAAAGCCTTGCTGGAACCTTCGATCTTGTTCGAGCGTCGAGAGGGAACCCTGAGCGATGAGGTACTCGGAGATCATGTAGAAATCACGATAATAAGCGGCGAGGTCGAGCGCGTTGCTCAGGCCAAGCCTCTGACGTTCCTGGACCACCTTGTCGAGGTCGTCCGTCGAATACTTGTGTTGATCTCGGCACCTGGGTAGAGTGTTCGAAGAGCTGTCTTAAACTCGTCGTACGTCTTCGTAGCATCCTTGTACGTCGGCTGCATCGTCCACAGGTCCGAGACCCGTATCGGCGGGTACCGAACGGCCCATGACTTTTGTCCGCATTGGTGGTGATCCCGCATCGCGTGAAGTGGGTCTCGAGGTCCTGGAAGAAGCGGTTGAACGCGAAGGGCTCTGACTCATCAAAGACCGGCGCAGTCGAGTGACCGCGGGCAGGCATGGAAGCCGCCTTCGAAGCTTGTGCTGCTGCTTCGGACATGTTCGTATCGGTGTTCGGAGGGTTCGAAGGATTTGGTGGATCGTTCGAAGGGTTTTGGTTGTCGCTGGTCGAAGTCCTTCGCGGCTCGGACGACTCTGGTCCTGGAGGGGCTAACGACGCTCTGCGACGAGTGGGTAAAGGTAGACGTGAGGTGGTGGCTCCACTACGCGTCGTGATCGGCGTGGCTGAACTGAGGTCCTCTCCTTCGAGAGGTGGCGACGGCGTTAGGGACGGTAGAGGAGAGCCAAAGACTCGAGACTCTAGGTCGTCTGTGAGCGAGAGTCTTCGAGCACGTCCGGGATGGGATGGAGTAGTAGGTACTTGGTCTCGAGCGGAGCGTTCCTGATCGTCGTGATCGGGGACAAGCTCGACGTGTTCGGACGAAGAGGGGATAGTCGAAGGTCCTGGTAGAGGGTTGCTATGCCTGCGAAAGGCGGCGGCGGATCCGGGACCTAGACGACTGTCGATAGCGAGTGCGAGAAGAGGACTTTCGTAGTCTCGGTAGTCTTCAGGGTTGACGTCGAAGTTCCGACGCGGCGGAATCTTGCTCTATATCCCCCTCGCGGTGGGCTCCAAGATGACGCGACCGAAAAGAACACAAAAGCCACACAAAAACCCAACCGTGAGGTCGAGCAGTGGTATGCGAGGCCTCTGCGTCTATGAGATGTACGGGGGACTGTACAGTGGTCTAGGTAAGAAGGAGGAGGACGGACAAGACTCCGAACGACGTGGGAGAGCTTCGAAGATGTCGAAGACTGTTCGAAGACGAGGGCTAAGCCTCGAAGGTAGGAGGGGGAGTTTCGACAGACGTGTCGAACGAACGGTGACAAGGAAGGCGAGCGACGGCAGGAGAAGAAGTGTAGAGCCTCTCGGGGCAACTACGAGCTGGCGAACGTACTGGCGAACTGACTGACTGACTTCGAACGTACTGACTGACTGGCGAACTTGCTGACTTCGAACGTACTGGCTGACTGACGAACCTCGCCGGTGCGAGGTGAGATTGAGAGGGTAAGGGGGTCTCTAAGATTCGAAGGGAACAAGTCCCAGAGTATATACAGGAAAATACGGTCCGAAGACCAAGAGAGCCAAGAGAAATACAAGACATGATGAATGAAAGTGATAAGGAAAGCAGCCAATCGGAGAATGTCACAACACTCGACCCGGACCTACTAACACATGAGAGAATCCAACTCGGCCTTCCGCAGGTTCCGCATAACGGGCGACCGTCCCCGAACGGCGAAGGTCATAACCGGAGCCGGTGACAGTCCTCGTAGATATGAGACAGCTGCAGGAGTTCGCCTGACTTACGCGAACATGCCGCACCTCGACCCAACTTCCGAAGCGTATGCTGCCCGCTACTATCGCCTCCTAGAGGTCCTCAAGACCGAGGGACTTGTCGAGCCGCGATACGATGCCAACAGTCCCGGAGAGTGGCTGGCTTGGGCCCACGGAGTCCGTTGGATGATCGTACGTGCCTCCGAACTTAGACTATCGTTCGAACCATCGAACCAACCTTCGAACAGCGATTCTTGTTCGAGTCCCGCAGCCGGGCCATCCTGCTGGCGAACGATACGCTTCCTGCTCCTAGGTCATTCCCCGAGATCGACGAGTTGATGCGTTACCTCGACGAGGTCTTTCACCGCGATGGCAACCAGGGAGACATCCTAGGTTCGCCCTACCCTACGATCGCGTGGTCCGAGACCTTGGTACTGCTCGAACAAGTCAACCAGGCCGAGCGTCGTCCCCTCGCGAACCCGCAGTATCAGCGCGAGTCGTTGATCCTGTCCGACTTTCGCCAGCTGCCCGACAACCTCGAGTCCATGGGTCGAGCGATTCACAACATCGCAGTCGACCAGCGCCGCACGCACGGCACCCTCGTCGGGTTGCTCGAAAGCCTACTCGAGCGCGTCAACACTGATCGTGGCTCCGACACCGGTCCGTCTGTTCGTAGGGGTAGGGGTGGTGGTCATGGGTGTGGAGGTCGAGGACATAGATACGAGAGTTGCCGAGGCCGTCACTAGTTAGTTTGACGTAGCCATGTACTTGCCCCGGAGTCCTACCAATGTAGCGACACTTCTAAACCGCTTGCCTCTGCCACTAAGGGTTCCGAACATTGACGCTTGAGCTTCGAACATCGGGCGGTTCCCTCGAACGGACGGACAGTGCGTCGACCGTTCTGACTTAGTGTAACGTTGTATCGACCGTAAATGGCGTTTTCGGTGGGTAGGTGAGCTAAGGGCTCATCAGCGGAGCATATTACGTGACCCATATCTGGGCAACAAACATTTGTATTATATCGTACCATGTTCCGCCTCCGTGTATCTTAGGATTACTTAAGCAATACCCGCAATATCCTTGTGCGAAATATCGTCAGGATTCTTTAGCTAATCATCACATGCCCTCACCATATTCCTGCCCAGAACATCGCATTTTGCCCCCAGTGCTGCCTGCCTGCCCGTCTACGTCCACCTACTTACCTGCCTGCTTACGCGCCCGCTCTCGCCCATGCCCGTGGTCCGCCCGTTGGCTGCGTTCGCACGCAGGGCATTAGCCCTGCGTGCTCGCGGTCCACGCACGTATTGTGATGCGCGTCGCCGCGTCCTATGGCCACGGTCAGCGCGCTCGCTCGTACGCAATGGCACTCACCTCGATGCCGGTCCTTCGCTGACACACCAACTGTCCGTTCATGCTCGCTATCGTGGTACGCGCTGCGCTTTAGCGACGTCGGTCACCGACGCGCAGTGGTGGAGGTCGCAAACGACGGGTGGAACCGCTCGCCACTCGCTCGGCTCGTTGCGGGCAGGTTGCGGGCTTCCGGGCTTGGCCGAAACTGACGCCACGCAGCGGGCTGGGCGGCGGCGCAGGGGACCCGAGATCGTACCTGATCTCAGATGTGCTGACCCCGATGTACGTCCATATGGGGTAGCCTCGCATCGAGCGCCAGTGATACCACCCCACCGGGGACGAAGGGACCGGGCTGCCCCGGCGTAGCTGCCGTATCAGGTAACGACCGACGGCGCCTCGTTCATACATAACGGCGCCTCGCTCATACATGAGCGAGTGGCAGCTCATGTATGAAAACAGGGCCAGGTAAGTACAGGCATTTATGTATGATCCCTTTGTGCTAACTACTGGTGATTTATACAAAGATATGCCTATATGGCCTGGTAAACGAGGAGATCAGCGATATTGATGTTCATTCGAACCAGACCTCCACGTGATCTTGCGTTCTGCACGGTGCCGGTGGACGCTCATGTCACTGTCGTACAGGCCGTGCCAGTGGTACGCGGTAAGTTTGAGCCTATCCTACATAAGTACATCAACGCAGGCACTGCATCGAGCTTCAATGCTAATCGGTAGCTCGGCTGATAAATGGCGAATGGAAGGACGTGCGCACCTTTTCCTACGATGCCCCCGCTGAATGACTTGTCGCAGTCAAGGCGCACTCGTTGGCGCCTGCAGAGGCCATCCCAAGTGTCTGCAGAACACGGCTTCGCAGGTAAGGGAAATCCTTGGTCGGTTGATTTGGGTCGACATTCCGCGAGGAAGTTGGCGAGATGGAGTTCTCGCGGGATTGGATGCGTGTCCTTCCCTCGCCGGCTGGCTAAACGGAGCGACCTTGCCAGAGTATCGGTGAATGGAAGGACGTACGCACCGTCTCGTACAAGGCCTCTACCGACTGACCAGAAGCACAGCCCCATCACAACCACTTTTCGAACAAGGCCTACCACACCCACCGTCGGTCTTGCCTACACGAGAGGTGAAGGAGCCTCGCCGGCATTTGCGCGCCCGTCGTCACCGTCCCGCTGCTCGTTGGGTGAGTGCACGCGGGAGCTTCTGGTTCTACGTACCACGACGTCCGAGGCAGCCACACAACATCCACCATACAGGATGATCCACCGAGGACGAACGTTCTCCGACCAGCGCGCACGCACTCCCGAAGAACGGTGCATCTTGCTGCATCACGGTGTTCGCCCATCGGTGTCCGTCCGTGCAGCGTGCGTGCGTGTCCGATCTACCGACAGAGCTGCCATCCTCGTATTCGTGCGAGGTGTTCGAAAAGGCGACGGCGGCTGGTGGCGACTGCCAGCGCGCTGACGAGCACCCCGAGCCGGCGAAGCATGAAAGCAAGGGCTGGGGGGGGGGGGGCGACGAGGCCTCGGTAAGTCGCGCTGTTCATCGCGTCAGATGGTGGAGCACGAACCGCGTGTTGCAGACGGGCTCGGCTGCGACGTGCACAATATCAACGTCTTCGGCGTGAGCAGGTGAGGTTCCGTTCGGCTGACTTTGACCTTGGGATTGCTGATGTCGACTCGGAGGCTTGCTTACCAGGGATCTCCCTGGCCGCCCTGCCTTGCCGGGCTGCGTCGACAGTTGAGGAAAACGAGCGGCCTGCGATGCGGGCGTGGGTGAGAGAGCACACTTGACGCTTGCGTGTGCGGTCGCTGCGGGTGAGTGGAGACGAAGGCGTGGGCGTCGGTGTCGAATGTGTCATGTTAAGCGACCAATGTCCGTGCCAGACCTTGTGGGCGAGTGAGTATAGGCCCCGCAGACGGCCGCAGATGTGGGGCGGGGAGCGTCTGTAAGATCGTACGCGTTCGTCGATAGTCCTCTGCATAACACCGTCTGGCGTGTGTTTTGAAGTGACTTGAGCTCGGCGCACCTGTGTGGATGGGTTCCTATGCGTACTGCGAGGCGTGGAGAGCGCTGACGAGACCTTGCACGTTTGTGAATAGTCTGGTAGCACCGTCTGGCGGGCTGTCCGTCGTGCACTGCCAGTTGGGTCATACGTGGTTGTCTCGTATGCGATGCCGGACGTACTACGAGCCGCGCGGAATGCGGGATGTCTGATAAAACGTCTCAGGGTGAGATTTGAGAGTGCAGCGCAGCATGACGTGCGGAGTTTGGTGCTTCCGGGAGTTGGAATGAGTTGGAGCGAGGAGTGAGGATCACGGGTGCTTGTTTGGCAGCGTCGCTCGCATAGAACGTGACACAGAGCACTGCACTGCGCTAGGCATCGCTCCCAAAAAGTCGGAGAGGCACAGAAAAAATAGCCTGCGCACCGTTCGGTGCCGCTTTGGAAGGGTACGAATAGCAGAATGAGGACGGCGGAGGGCTGAGATGAGTGGGACGTGAGGAGACACGATTTCTTGATAGATGCGCGCGGTGGAAGCAAAAAAAAGGAGAACAGACCTCTGTCAAATAGAAATCTGTAGAAATTCTGGCGATGGGAGGACCGGCAGGCTTGTCTCGGTTGTGCGCATCGACCCATGGGCACAAGGGCAGGACAGGGGTGGACGGAAGCGACAGGAGAGGAGAGAGACAGCGGTCAACAAGGGAGACGCATACAGCAGAGAAAAAACAGCGCAGCAGCGGCCAGATAAGAGCAGGGCGAGGACAGGCAGAAAGAGATCGTCGAGCGTGTCGAGCGTTGGAGTACTAGTTGAGGCAACACGGCAATGAGACGTGTCGGCGACGCTGGATAGAGGTGGCGAAGGCCATTCGCGGGGGTATGTGGTCCGCGAGAAGGTGCAGGTGCGCTGCGAGAGAGCACAAGATACAGGAGTCCATGTATCTCAGAGCAACGCGCGACATGAATATGATCAGGTGACCGTGATTTTTACGGCGCTACGACCTCTCGTCGTGGTCGTCGTGACGGTGGTGTTGGACTTGGCCTCTGTCTCGTCCTTCTTGTCGCGTACGATCACTCTTCAATATCTGCAACCTCACTCAGGCTGCCTAGTGCTGTGTGTGCATTAAACTGGCGCGGTCCTTGGCTGCCAGGCATACACTGTCTCTTCGCCCTCAGCGCTCAGCCCTGACTCCACGGCCTACATCGGTTCAGCGCCGCATGTCCCCCTCTCCATGCAGTATTCCGCTCGAGCTAATGGACGAAATATGCGGACAACTTGCACCACAAATGGATCACCAACATCTCTACGTCAATGATGAACGGAATGGCCCTGCGAGGACTGCTCTGGCAAGGTGTGCACGGGTGTGTCGTGCGTTCCACACGTCGGCTGTGAGGGTTCTTTGGGGACGGCTGGAGCTGAGCACCATTTGCGAAGCTGTCTTACGAGACTTCAGCTCCGGCTTCGTCAAGTGGCCTACGAATGAAGAGGAATTCATGGGAGGACATGAATCAGACGACGAGGCTAACGAGGATATGGCCGTAGGCATTGATTCATATACCTACCGATATAACTACGTGAGTGATGTGCAAGCAGACTGCGACGACATATGTTCTGATCAGTGTCCCAGAAATACGTCTCAGGCCCCATTTCTGTGGAGGAATGGGCACGATTCAAGCACTATGCGCCTTTCGTACGCGTCCTCCGCTACGGAATAGGGGATACCATAGAACCATCCATTTTCCTTTTCCTTCAGCAGCATGCCCATGGTCAGCCGCTCTTCCCAAATCTGCGCGAACTCATATGGGAGCATGCCACACCGGAGATAATATCGATGACTTCCCCATCGATTCGTGTTCTGCGCCTTCCCGAAGACGTGAAAATGAGGGAGAACGGTCATCAGACGTACGAATACGGGTACCACATGCGGCGACATGCTTTCAAGCAAATGCTTCCTGCCGTGCTACAGGCGCTCCCCAACCTCGAAGAGCTCGAGCTCCGAAAATTGGCACACGAAGCATTCTGGTATCCGTTCTGGCAGTCGGTGCCTAACAGCCGTTTCGTCAGCCAAACAATCCGCACCCTCTGCATCTCTGAATCTCGCCGAGCCCTCAGGGCTGCCCTGGCTGCAATCTCGACCATCCATGGGCTCACTACGCTCGAGATCGATATGGACGAATGGGGCGGTGTAACGGGCCTATTCGGATGTCATCAAGACCTACCCGATATGGACTATCTTATCTATATGCTGTTTGCTTATGTTTGTACTCCCCTCATATGGCGCGCCAGCGCACTTCCTGTAGTCTCCAACTACCCTTTAATCACTGCCTAAACGATACACATAGTCTGTAGACTTCTCTTGAATAGAGATTGGATACAGCGTATCTGCGGGTGTGAACTGGGTCGTTACATATTTTTACGCTCCTCTGCTTTCTCAAACAGACTTCTACTCTGGAGAAATCTACTGGCAACAACTCGAAACTTCGAACTCAAACTCGAAATCTATGCATTGCATCACTCTCGTCGACCTGGCAGCCCTACACTATGTCTGAGTCGACAACAACCAACACTACCGAGACTTCGCGCAGCACTCGTGAATCTCGCCGCGAAAAGCGCCAGGCACTTCGCGCGAATGCCAGGCCTCGGTTAACGTTGGCCGAGATACGGGCCAAATACACTGCTCAAGCACTACCTGAAACTTGGGACCGCCGGACTGAGCTCTCCAACCCCGAGAACTCATCCGGAGTACTCGCGGAGCAGGCACTATCCGACCGCGAGGTTGAACAGGCATCGCGTGCTGAGCCGCCCAAGCCCAGCACCGAGACTGTTCCAACCGAGCCAATGCGAAGTAGCCGCGGGTCCAGAAGTGGAACCCGCAGCAAGAGGCTGAGGGCATTGTGCGCGGAAATCTTAGCTAAGCTCGCCGCGAGCCAAGAGCAGCCCATACAAGAATGGGCTGAGGCATCAGGCAAGGGGCTGCACAGCAACGAATGGTACGAAGACCTCGAGGCGCGAGTCGCAGACTGCGAACACGCCGAGAGAGCTGCCCGAAGGGCAGAAAGGGCTTTGTCTAAGAAGACAAAGACCTCGTCTCATCATCAAGAAGCTGCCTCTCGCACCGCGCAGTCCGCCCGGACTGAGTTCTCCGACCCAGAGAACTCAGTCAGAGCACTCGCGGAGCAATTGCCATCCAACCGCGAAGTTGAACCGACATCACGCACTGAGCCGCCCAAGCCCAGTGCCGAGACTGTTCCAACCCGGCCCATCGCACTGGAGGAGTCGCAGCGACTCCCGACATACCTGCCGGGTTCAGTCGACACTGCGTTGACTGAAGCCGGCAGCCGCACTCAATCTTCCAGCGAGAAGACCACTCGGACTGAGCTCTCCATCCCGGAGAACCCAGTCGGAGCCCACACGGAGCAGGCGCCGTCCGACAACGAAGTCGAACGTGCACCGCGCTCTGAGCAGCTCAAGCCCGTCGGCGAGCCAGCTCAGAGCCGCCAGGAGACTCCGTCTCCACCTGCTCCAGCCCAACCGAAAAGGCTCGGCACCACAGTCAAGAGTGGTGCACGCGCTGGGCTCGACGGCCCCGCCGTCGCCGAGCCCGCGCCCGAGCTCAGCGAGCGGAACACCGACCCGACTCGTATCTGCGCCCGGGAAGGGATAGGCACACTACCTATCCCCCGGCTCAGCGAGAACGAGCCGGAACTCGCAAGAAAACGCGTCGCGCGCTCAGAAATGAGCCGCGACACAAAAAATATATTGTCTACGTCGACCGACGCGCTCGACACGGTCACCGACGCGCTTGACGCAGCCGGTGACACGCTCGACGCGGCCGGCGACGCGCCCGACACCAGAGGTGTTGAGCGTCACGAGCCCGCGTCGACGGTGAGCGCTCGGAGCGCTAGCGCCCAGCGCCCAGCTCTCGACCGCCACCACCGTCTCCTCACCGGCCTCCTCACCTCTCACCTCGACTCGGGCACCCACCACGGCCGCCCTACCTCTCGTCAAGGCGCTCGCGCTGTCCCAACGGACAGGCGAGCTGAAGTCAGCGACTCCCTAGCTGAACTACCGCTAGTTCAGCTAGGAGCGCCCGACAACCCCTCTGCGCGCGGTACAAGACCGCCGTCTCCTTCCTCTCCCGGACCTCCAACTCCACCCGCGAGACCTACACTCGACCCTCTCACCTCCTCTCCTGGATCTGACGCCCTCAAACCGGATCTTCGCGGCCCAGGCGACACGCAACACAGCCGCGCGGCCCAGGACTCGCACAACGCTCGTGCAAGTCCAGCGCCCAGACGCAGAGCCGCGCAGAACACTGAGAACGCGACGCGAGGGAAGCAGAAGGGGGAAGAGAGGAAGGGGAGGAAGAGAGAGGAGGGGGAAGGGCGCGGGGCGAGGAGAAAAGACGAGCACGAAGGCTCGACAAGCGCAGGTACGCCCTCGATGGCCGTCCCCGCATCGCCGTCTCCGCTCCCAGTGCCCGCGCTAGCAGGCGTATCGACGAACGAGAAGTCCGTCGTGCGCTCTGCTGGCCACGAAGACGGCACGCCCGCCTCTTGGGACGACTGCTATGTCGTACCCACCGCCTCGGACGATACCACGGCGGACGCACAGAGCCGCGCGTCCGACGTGTCCGTCCCTTCGCATTTGGCCGCACCAGCAGATGTACAGACGAGCACGAAGCCCGCTGTACGCTCTGCTGGCCACAAGAGCGGTCTTTCCGCCTATCGGGACGACCTCCGCGTCGTACCTGCGGTTGCACACGGCAACACGGCGGACGCACAACGCTGCGCGTCTGACGTGTCCGTTCCATCGACACTGCCCGTGCCAGCAGGTGTACCAACGAGCAAGAAGCTCGTGGTGCACTCTGCCGGTCAAGAAGACGGCGCATCCGTCTTCCGGGACGACCTCATGGTCGTACCCGACGTTCTGCAGGGTAGCACGTCGGACGCACATCGATGCACGTCTGACGTGCCCCGCCTTTCTGCGACCCGCCGCACAGAGGGTACGTCGAGCTTATCGCTCGATGTACACGCTGTCGACGAGAGCAACGCCGCGCCTGGTGTACTGGCAAACGTACCCGGCGCGATCGTCGACCCCTCATATGCGAGCGACGGCCCCGAGGTATGCCCTGCAAAGGTGTACCCGGTACGC